TTTGTATTATTTTTGAAACAAGCAAATCGTTTAAAGGAGTTGCTAGGACATTGACATTTAGTCGTGAACATTAATTTCTTAATCACCCAACAAATACTCTACTAAACGAATCTTAATCGTTGATGATTGAATGTTCCAGAAGCTACCGTTGTAGCTAGATGTCATGTATTAATTTCAATTACCTTGTATTCTAGATTTGTTGGACTTGTTTGACCTTCAAACTCTTGATTGTTCTTATTGGTGTAGTTTTCAATATGAACCTGCTCACTATGGTGTCATGAATTGCATTGTTGGGTTATGTGGTGTGTATGTTGTAAAAAATAGTTATCTTTATTTTAGTTGGTAGTAACTACGGTTACAATTTTTGGTTTTGAGTATGACATTGTTGAGGTGTACTGTGAAAATTTTATCCATAGCACATGATTGACAGAAAAATATTGTGAACAGGTAGTTGAACGATCGAGATTATAATGTAGCAAATTGGGTGTTATATGTGTTGTCGCTTGGGAAGGCAGTACGTGAGCGCGATTGAGGCACTAATTGGATGATTTATGCGTATTTTCCCAATGGGGGGAATGATGGTAATACTGCACCCTCAGGAATTTGTTACTTACTTATCAGAACAATAGTGAGTTGTTGGTATTACGGGCTATGGACCGTAACATTGAAACCTTAATTGTTGAACTTGTTAAGCAAGTGGACATCTAGGTCCATCTACGTTTAGTTAATTAATTATTGTTTGGGCTTAACCCAAAGATAGCACACACTCATCTTCGAGGCACATGACGCCTTTGGGTGTGTAGGTGAAGTTTTCTATTTTCAGTGTTGTTTTCAGTACAACCATTTTAACTTCACTTTATTATATACGTACTTCAACATTACATTGTTATACAACTATTTTTCTACTTTATGTTTTATAAAGGACTGTTTATTTTAGTATTGTACTAAAGGAGAAGGAAAGTTTGAGTTTGGAAGCATGAAAGAGGAATCACTGAACTTTGATCGCGACGGAATGGCATTCTCTTTTATGCAACCACTCTAACTTGATATCTTCTTTACATAACTGTTTTTCTTCTATCTTTTCACTACGTTTGTTTAGCAAATGATTTTAAATTTCGGGGACGAAATTTTTTTAAAGTGGGTAAATTGTGACAACACGTCCCTAATTTTACGTTTTTATTTATTTTAAAAGTGTGAATTGGCGAAAATGTCCCTAGAGGCAAGAACTTTGACTTCCGTTGACCATTGTCTAGAGAAATGTATAACTTAGTCTTTTGGCATATTTGTGTACTACTCGTTGGTACAAACGCATAAGCGTAAGCCGTTTGCGAGTCCGGATTATAACGGTATAGTTACGGACGTTTGAAATTGGTTACTTACATTTTAGATTATTAAATTATTTGAACTCCCACCTTGTGGGAAAGAAGCCAATCAGCTTCAAGGAGAGAAAATAAGGACCAATAAGCCAATTAAGAGAGGAGAGAGGGAAACTCTAAGCTTCCCTTCCTGTGGCCTTTCAAACATAGAAACCCGGTTTTGACCCGGGGTGGTTTCTGGCGGTTCACCGCCATTTTTCAGGCGATTCTCAACCATCCATGAACTGCAATCTCTTCCATAACCTCCCCTCTACCATCTCCACCCATATTTGAAGGGTTTTAGGTCCTATTTCGTGTAGAACTCCACCGGAGAACCGGTGGTGCTCGACGGCGATTCCTCCATTCCAACGAGTTTCACCACCCACTACCACCCTTAATCAACTCCCCATGGACCCAGGAACAAGACCCAACAAGTTGTAGGGGCGTTGGAACACCGAGGGAGGAGAATCAAAGCTCACCCATTCTAGGGTTTCTAATCGATTGAAAGGGATTTGAGGTGTGTTCCGACAGAATTGGTCTTGGCCACAGGTATGAAAGTTGTTCCTCTCTTTAAGATCTTCATTTCTGTGAATTTTCGGCGAGTTGAGGCGGCCGACTGCTGTGTACAGCGGCCCGTGGCGGCGGTGCGTGGGCCAAGGCATCCCCAGACCTTTGTAGACTAAATTTGATTCTCTAATTTCGTATGTGAAGTCCGATTGACGAATTTCCATCATTTGAACCTAGTTCCATTAAGGTCCATCACTTGACAATTTTATGAAACAATGATTCGGCTGTTGGATTGTCACCAAACTTCAATACGTTATAGTATGTAATATTTGAACACCATAGGAAGTTACAGGTTGGGAATCCGATGTATGGATCTTCCTAAATTGGATTTGTAAGTTCGTAAAATAAAACGTGGGCCGTCACTTAATTTTGGCAATGGGTGGAGATCCGACCGTCAGATCGTGGTAGGATTTTAGTATGTTATTCTAGAAGCATAATGTGGATTCTAGAAGTTACGGATTGGAAATCCGAGGTGTGGATTTTCCGGATTGAGTTATGTAGGGTGATGGACCCTATCATCGACCTTTGATCGACAGTTGACTGTTGGTCAATGAATTACAAATCATTCTAGAACATCCTTGGGGATATGTTTTATGTAAGTTATGTGTTCTATCAATAAGAACTCTGAGACGTGATTTGATAATTGTTACAGGCGACGATGGTTCGTGATGTCTCGATATTCGTGCTAGGGAGTCGTAACGTGGACCTCAGGTGAGTGGGTCTTTTCCTTTTTATCGTATATTTATGATTGATAATTCCACACGTGCTTTTAAATTGATTTATGCATTTTATGCCATGACATATATATTTATATTCTAAAATACTATGATATGGTTGAGTTTTAGATTGCATCATGGCATATCCATATGCATATTACCTACATACAATTACTGTGAATGCTTTGAAGTGCTAAGGTGAACGTGGGACATGCAGGTAAGTTCAGGTGAGTTTGTTGTGTTATTTGAAATGATTGAGTTATGGCATGACTAGATTTGTGTTATAGGCAACTCTAACATTGTCGTACAAGTTGCAATAATAGGCAACTCCGGCACTATCGTACAGGTTGCAATAGGCAACTCCGACACTGTCATATAGGTTGCCTATGAGTCGTATAGGTTTTACATTTGATTTCATACTTATATGTGGTATGATTTTCTGGAAACTATATAGGTTTTACAGCGAGGGGTTATAACGTTTTAAAAGGTCTTTATTAAGACTTCATTTTCAGGCCCACTCACCCTTGTTTTGTTTTCATCCATCCAGGTTTTAATAGTTGGGCTTTCTTATCGACGAGGATTCGTGGCAAATCTTGGTATTGGAGATTACCTTCGATGGTATGATTCTTAATCCACTCTACTGTACTTTACTTATGCTCTGACGTCACATGTGAAATGTGTTCATTTTTCGCTCATAGCGCACTCTCGTATTTAGGCACTTTTAAGTTTTAATTTTTTCACATATTCCACATCACTACACTTTATGGCTTCGTCACCTTCCAGGTGTCGGCCGGCACAACTCGATTCGGAGTCCTAGTGGACAATCCGGATCGGGATGTGTCAGATAACATGCTAAATTAATCATTCATTGGCACTCCAAAATTCTCATTCTACACTCCAAACTTTCTATATTTAGAAAGAAAAATACAGTTGTGAGGAGTTTATAATGAGATTTTTGGAGTGCCAATAATACTTCCCTAAATTTATAAGATAATACATTATAAAAATTCATATAGGTCCCACATAATATATAAATTAATAATTTGTAGATACATAGTGTTTATGATTGGATTATAATACATAGTGCTTATGTTTTTAGTGTCATTTGGATTATCTTTGTCGTACTTGCACAATGCTTTTACCCATTTCATCGATCATTGTTGATTATTTCTTTGAGATGACAAGTCGTTGTTATATGTACGATGTATTGTGTTACTATGGCTTTTATTTATCTAAATAGAGATTTTGCTTGGTTAAATGTTCATAAAATGAAATAAGTTGTACTTTTGAACAATGTACAATCTATTTTTTGACTAAAATAATTAGATTTCCTTAGTCCCAAGGCTATATGGTAATAGATAAACTTGTTTCAATTGGTCATGACAAAAGTTTCACGTGTATTTGTTTTACTAATCTTCTTGTAACATGTTCTTTAAGGGTATGTTAGGGTGATGAATTTCCAAATTCCAAGGGATTTAGGTTTCATGAGGAAAAAATAAATCACAAAAAGTTAAATAGGAGGAAATAGAAATGCATCACATGATCATTACAAGGGAATGTAAAAAGGATTTGGAAGTGACACCTTCCAAGTCTTTGTAATGCTCGTGTAGATGTATTTGTAATCCCTCCCATATAACCTTTTGTGATCCATTTCTTCATCGTTTTGTCTAAGTTCCTTAAAATTTTAAAACTTTTATACGACTGTAGGAAGTTGGGGACCCTTCTTTGTAATTTTATTTCAGGTTTCAAGTATTACTTTTAATTTTTTTAATTTTTGACCTCTAGTTGGTCAAATTAGATTTGGTAGATATCGTTGATGTGACTTAATATTTTGTATGAACACACTTAGTGTTAATATGACGTTGATTTCGATACCAATATCGCCCTTCACGTGATTGGAGTCGTTTTGTATGTATCATGGACGGTACCCTTGTGTTATTTTTTTCTTTTTTGAATAAACGATATTATTTACACTAAAAGGGAGGAGGTGATTTTAGCTTCACAAAGAAATTAACAATAATGTAGTTCAAATTCACCTTTGGTAAAAGATTGGGTAAGCTTCATCCTATTTCAGTTATATGCAAAGAACATATACCACATCATCGTGAAGCCGTTCCAATGTAAGTTTTCAAATCAATGGCGATCTGGACAAGGGGAATATTTTACCCGCGAGCGAGCGTACAAGTCATCAAAGAAAAAAGAATTTTACACTCATCAATGGCAGCAAAAGAAGCAAACGAACAGAGTACAGATAAAGCTCATATGTAATTTTCTTTTTCACTTCCTTTTTTTGCCGTAAAAGATAAAAGGCCATTCACTGAGATCATTTCCTACAGTCACTTTGGAAACTGAATTAAAATAAAAAATAAAAAAATTATGCTGCGCCATCTAAAATGTATTTTACAAGAAATTACAGCCTCGCCTGTCCGCAGATTAGTGGCACTCTATTTCCTGGCTTACACAGGCACCCGTCGGCCACGATATCGGTCAAAGAGCTGCACATCATAGTAAGACGGGGTAACACATAAACAAGTAATCTAAGTGCATTGAGAATAATACAGATAAAGTGCATATCCCGGCAAGAATAAATACTAATATACACGTATACTAATATACTAATATACTAATATACACGTATACTAATATACTAATATACACGTATAGTAAGAGCTATTATGAAAAATAATAGCCTATACAAGTTTCTAAGACAATACATAAACATCGAGAGCTGTTCGTTTCTCAGTCTAAGTAATATGATAATACTAACCTTAGGTATCAAAGTTCCCTCTATTTCTGAAAACCAATGTTCCTCACTTGGGTTTAAAATATATTCGCTATGACTGATGCCATAACAGTTATGATTACCAAAATTGCCAACAAAAATAAGCTGAGAATTGTCCACAAAATGAGAAATGGAGATAAGGTTAAAACAGAAGTCTTTTGTGCATTATTTATCAGTTACCACAAATAATCTCTTAGTACCTAACAATGTGCTCCTCATTTTTATATGTTTGTTTTCATGCTTAACAATAATCGACCAGGGTTCTAAGAACATACAAATGGCTTAAGACCAAATCCCATGACATATACATGTGTAAATCATGTTCTAAAAACAAATAACACACAGGGACTTCCAAAGTTTGACTGGAATGGCTTTCATGAATGTGCAATTCAAGTAGATAATGCATAAAATTAATCCACTATAAAGAACGATTAATAACTAAACATACTGATCTAACGTATGGTTGTTGAAACAGCCAGCCAAGAACCGGAATCTTCTGAAGAAAAACTGCCAGTGTTGGCCAGAAGCCGCTGCACAACATATTCCATCAGCAACATCATGCATGCAGAAATATATTATTAGTATGAAAAAGAGCACAGTAAAAAAAATCCTAGAGACCTGAAGAGTACGATGAACCCATATGCCTCCAAAATCATGCCAATAATAGGCCACCCTATGATCACAAAGAAGAAACCAATACCAAAAGAAATAGTTCCCTGTACAGTTAAAGAAAAACGTGGTTCAAAACAAAAGTTACAATACATGCATGGGCAAACACGCGCAAACGAGAGAAAGGTTAATCGTCATAAACCTTATAATTTTGACGTTTCATGAAGAATTGCATCGTGGGCTTAAATCCAATGGTTAAAGTCACCCCTGACAAGAAGAGGATCTGATTAAGTACCACAAACAAATGAGCAGTGTTAAAACGCAGATCAAGTAGAACAATAGCTAAAACAATAATAGGTAGAACCACACAGATAAGACGGTAACTTAGCATTATAAAAGACACTTACATTTCCCATTGCAAGCAATCCCTTGTCAAAGAAGAAGGCCATTCCCAGGCATGTGAAAAATATACCGAATCCAGTCAATCCGAGTCCAATCTCTGTTACAATTGCGCAAACACCAATTTAGATTGGAGATGATCTTAACTCACGTATCAGAGTCCTACGTTGTACTAAATTATTCTTACAGTTTTTAAAGAAATAATTATCAGTATTTACCAAAAACAAGCTGTTCACATCAACAAGATTACGTATAAACATATCAAACAAAGTAATTAAACGTACCCAAAAGTAGCAAGTTGTTCTCTAAACAAGATATATATATATATATATATATAGACACACACTGAAATTAGCAGCCTCTCCATAAGATAGGGTAAGGCTAGCTGACATTCACCTCTCCCAGACCCTGCGTAAAGCAGGAGCCTTGCACTGGGTACGACCTTTATATAGACAAACACACATATATATATATCAATATATTGACCAAACAGTGTAATCTAGAGCATCCAAATCGCTTGGAAAATTACGAAAAAGCAAAACTTACTCACTTTTTCGATCAGTCATCTCGAAGGAAACCATTTTCGCTGTAAATTCACTGCAAACAACAACACCGAAATTAGCAGCCAAACAAAAAAAAAAAAAAGAAATTAGCAGATCAAGTAAACGAATCGGATTGAAGCGAAATCGAAAGGTAACGGAAATTAGGGCTTCGATAGAGAATTTTAGGATCGCAGAAGAAACGGATGCGGCAACACTTACATTGAAAAAATAGAATGCAAACAAACACGACTTCACGACGAAGACCTGTAGAGGAGAAATTCCGATCAGTCAGAGCTCCGATTGGTTCCGGGAAAGAATGACAAGAAGCGAAACTCAAAATGGAGCCCTAATTCTTCATTTTCTATAATTTTCCTAGGGTTTTTCTCGGGAAACAAACAGAGTTTAAGACGAGTCTTACAGCAGCGAGAGAGAGAAACCGTGAGAGCGTGATGCAGACTGAGAAGGATGGAGCGGAATGGTTCGTTGGAGACGGAGAGAGAGCGCGTGATGGTCACGTATATACTTGAAGGAAGGAAAGGAAGAGAGGTATTTTAGACATACAAGATATGGTGAACTAAAATGCGCGGGTGACAAAGTCAATGGGCCGTAATCCAGTTATGTTGTCAAGTCAAAAGGCCTTAATCCAGTTTTGTCGTCAAGTCAAAAGGCTTTAATCCAGTCTTGTTGTAAAGTCAAAAGACCTTAATACAGTTTTATTGGCTGATAGGAGCATATTTATGCGACTTAATTGGCTTGTTCTCATGCATTTACGTTATATTTCCTTAGTTATTTTAGTGTTTAAAGTCACTTTTGTGTGTTTTCAGATTCCAAGGACAAAGTAAGCAAGAAGTTGCATTTTGGAGCCTTTTGGAGCAAAATGGAGCTTGGAATGATTATCACATGCTCAGAGCACAAGGAATGGACGTAATTGAAGATTTGAAGAACGAAGGATTCCTAATTGAAGATGGATTCCTATTCACACAAGGATTCCTAGAAGAACAAGGATTCCTACTCCAAGAAGGATTCCTACTTGAAATAGGAAAGTTAAGTCAAGGTTTCCTACTTTGGTTTGACCTTTCCTAAATGTTCCTAAGTTTTATCAACTTTAAAGGCATCCTAGGCATTCTAGGACATCAAATACACATCTCTTGCACATTGTGAACCCTTGCCGCACCCCCTTGACATTTCCTCTTCCTTGCCGTGCAAGGGAGAGGGTTATTTCCTGATTCTATGCTTTAAAACACATTCCTAATGTGTTTTAGGACCTTGCCGCATGTCCCCTTGCCTTTTCCTCTAATTTTCTGATTGTGTTTCCTATTTCTAGAAGCCTTCGACTTAATTTCTGATTACCTAAATAACCTAGGGTTTTAATTCCTGAAATCCTTTAAATAAACTCCCTTTTTGCTTAACATGTGATAGATGTCAAAGGACAAGTACCATTGGTGCTAAGGACCAAATGCCGCAAACCCCTATCTTCAATGTTGAAATTTTTGATGTTTGGGGTATTGATTTCATGGGTCCTTTTCCTTCTTCATTTGGTTTCACTTATATTTTGCTTGCGGTTGATTATGTTTCCAAATGGGTAGAAGCAAAAGCTACCCGTACTAACGATTCTAGAGTGGTTTCAGATTTCATCAAGACTAACATTTTCTCTAGATTTGGGATGCTGCGGGTGTTCATAAGTGATGGAGGCTCACATTTCTGCAATCGGACCATTGAGGCACTCTTTAAGAAGTACAATGTCAAGCATAAGGTTTCAACACCTTATCACCCTCAAACAAGTGGCCAAGCCGAAGTTTCAAATCGCGAAATCAAGCAAATCTTGGAAAAGACTGTGGGGCCAAACCGGAAGGATTGGAGTATGCGTTTAGACGATGCATTGTGGGCGTACCGAACTGCCTACAAAACACCCCTAGGGATGTCTCCATTTCAGCTAGTCTATGCCATGTCACTTACCCATGGAACTCGAGCACAAGGCGCATTGGGCCGTGAAAACATTCAATTTGGACTTAGATGCTGCTGGAATTCATCGGAAGCTCCAATTGAATGAGCTTGAGGAGCTAAGGAATGAAGCATATGAGAATGCCCGAATTTACAAGGAGAAAACAAAGGCGTTTCATGACAAGATGATTAGGGGCAAAACCTTCACCATTGGGCAGAAAGTGTTGCTTTTCAATTCCCGTTTACGTTTATTCCCTGGTAAGTTACGTTCTAAGTGGATTGGACCTTTTGTTGTTACTAATGTTTTTCCACATGGTGCAGTTCAAGTCCAAAGCTTGAGGAATGGTCAAGAATTCAAGGTAAACGGACATCGATTGAAGCCATATTATGAGAGTGTCGTGGGGCAGGTTGTGGAGGAGATCCCATTCCATGCCGTGGGCTCCAATGAGAGATGAATGAGTTCTTTGTCCGGCTGCAAGACGTTAAAGAAAGCGCTACTTGGGAGGCAACCCATGCATTCAACAAAGGAAGACTTAGGAATCACTCCAATTCTAGATTTGCGTTCCTAAAACCCTTCTCTTTGTTGATTCTTTCTAATCTGCCAGTTTAGTTGATTAAGTTGCTGTTTGTGTGTTTAATTTTATTCGCTGTGATTTTATGCTTGAAACATTGAGGACAATGTTTGATTTAAGTGTGGGGGGGAGGTAACTAAGTGTTTTTGATGCAAATTCGTGGGATTTTATCACCCATTACTTATAGACTTGTTCCTTGCTGTTTTTAAGTGTTTTTAAGCAGTTTTGGTGTGTTTTAGTGTGTGTTGACATAAAACTCCGAAAATCACATAAAAATTTGAAAAAAGTGTTTTGAAAAGCCTAAAAAGAGTGTTTTGAGTCGTTTTTGTGTGTTTGTGTCTAGGGTACCTTCCAACACAATGATGAGGATTCGGTTTGTAATTGCATGGCTGTTAAAAAGAGTTATTAACATGGATGAAAGTTTGAATTACTCTTTGATTATGCTTGGTTGTGGTTATAGCTTATGAACTCACATGCAATCACAAAGGATAAAAATTAGTTTTTGTAACATACTTGAAGGAAGGAACTCAAACAAACGCTACAACCTTTTCTTTTATCATTTCTGAAAATGGCTAGCCCATCTAACATTTGCATAGATTTGAGTCTCATGAGTGATACAGATGAGCCGTGTCAAGATAATATATGGCACCCGTCCTTCTTATCTTCTAATGGCCCTTTTACAGTTGGAGACTCTGTGATGAGGGATGAAATAACTGTTGGAAATATGCCCTGAAAGTCAATCTTTGGAAGAAACCTTTCAGGACAATGAATGGATGTATAGATGATTCTTGTACATCAAATGGCATAGATACTAATTAGGACTATCTCAACACACAATATATGTCCCAAATAGTGAATCCATGGACTATGGATTGATGGAAGAAGTAATCTAATGATGTTAGACTACAGAGACCTTCTTCACATAACCATCATGTCCAAAAGGTTCTTGGTCATAGGATTGTCGGAGGGATACTGACAATGCATAGACCGGTACATACTATATCCGCTTCAATTGGAAGGATGGAAAGTCTCGTCCCATTCGTGTAGTGACACTAAGATAGGTATGTAGGTGCTCATTAAGGGAATGAGTTCACTGAACACAATCGAACGATAGTACTTGCATGGAGGTCTACTCACATGTCAAGCAAGTAACTCTAATGGTTGGAATAATGTAAATAGTCCTTTGATTTAAATTGTATGACACCATATGATTTAAATGAATAGACTTGATAAAGCAAGTCACACATTTCAAATGGAATTACTTGGGAAGGAATTCTTTTGTGTATGTTCGTTTAAATAACTTGTGTTAGCTAGCGTTGTTGATAGTTTCAAAATTGTTAAGACATCATCAATAAGCTAATGGATCTCAATGATTGTCAATAGATCCAAGACAAGTTAGTGGGAGCAATATGCATTCAAATCAAGAAAATATAAGTGTTAAGTTTTTGAATGAATGCTAAGTTACAACAAGGCCAGTGGGAATGATGTCATAATTTGAGCAACAAGATATGAATAAAGTCTATTTGATAGACTTGATAAAACATAGATGTTACTCGAAAAATGACAAAACGTGACACGGTCAATTTTAAAGTATAGACTTGAAATTTGACTAATTGATATAGCAAGGCTATCTCAAGGATGTTATTTGGGGAAATTAAATCTCAAATGTTGAAGATTTGAGAAGGTGTTTTCCTATATGATAGAAAATCACTTTCATAACCCTTATAATGAATGTGTCATAAAATCACAAAAGGGACACATGTATGGACTTGTGAGTAGATATCCAAAGGTGAAAAACCACAGGGGTTGTCACTTTAAGATATTACTATAGCCCAGGATCAGAACCATAACAACTGATAGAGTATTATTGCCTTTAAGAAAGGAACATCAGAGTAGGACTCTGGAAGCGTGCATTCACTTAGGTTATTAACCAAAGTGAAAATAACCCATTTTAACAAATGGAACTTCATAATGGATGAAGTACTAATCATATGAATGTATTGTTAGTATTGTACTACAATGGTCTTAAGGTTGGAGCAAAGTATGTATAAAGTATACAAACGAAATATATGGCGATATATTGTTTTAGAAACTGCTTCAAAAGGTGTTTTGAATAGAAGGGGTTCTTATAGAACCAATGATTGAATCCAAACCATAAGGTCGTTAGTTGGACACTACGACGTAATGGAGCGATAGCTTAAGCCATGGAATCAAGGTCTCATCAAAGTATTTGAACACAAGAAAGAGACATCATCAAATGTTTTAGAAACATTTGATAAGTAAATCCCTTTTATAAATTAAAAGGATTAATACATAACCGAGTTAACCTACGAGCATAAGCTCACTCAACTAGTATCTATGAGATACACTAGTGATTGACTTTAGTGCAAGTGGGAGATTGTTGGAAATATGCCCTGAAAGTCAATCTTTGGAAGAAACCTTTCAGGACAATGAATGGATGTATAGATGATTCTTGTACATCAAATGACATAGATACTAATTAGGACTATCTCAACACACGATATATGTCCTAAATAGTGAA